AATCCTCTTTTTCACTTCTTTCCATATTATGTTCCTGCTGACCTCACTTCTCCATTGGCCTTGTCCTCCTTTCCTGACTATGGACACTAACCTCCACCACTCCTGCCCCTCATCTGTACCTGCTTCTCTACTCCTCACTTTCCAGGATGATTTTTTTCTAGGTAACTAGGTAGGCAGGAGCTCTGGTAGCATAGTGCCTAAGGCACTTGATTGCTAACCAGAAGGCTGGCAGTTCAAACCCACCAGCCACTCCTTGGAAAGAAGGTTGGGCAATCTACTCCCATAGTGATACCGCTGGGAAACCCAAGGAGGGGTCGCTATGAGTCAGGGCCTACTCGAAAGCACATAACAACAACAACAACAGGTGAGCAGGGTCTTGAGGTGACTCTATTTAATTATCTTCTCTCCCAGGTGGTAGTGGCAACGAACATCGCTGAGACATCCCTCACCATTGAGGGCATCATTTACGTGCTGGATCCAGGATTCTGTAAGCAAAAGAGCTATAATCCTCGCACAGGCATGGAGTCACTCACTGTCACACCCTGCAGCAAGGTCAGCCTGGGTCTCCTTGGGAACAGGGTTTCCATGGGAGGAGGGGTTAAGTCTCTACAAGGAATGTACAACTCAAGACAACAAATGTGAACCCTTTTGCATATACAGTACTGAGTTGTAAGGGAAGGCAAACGTGGGTATATGGATGGATAGATAGGTGGACAACCTAAATGATTAGGTATGTCTATGAAATGGGGAGTGTATCCAAGATCTCTGGTAGCATAGTGGCTAAGGCACTTGACTGCTAACCAGAAGGCTGGCGGTTCAAACCCACCAGCCACTCCTCGGAAGGAAGGTTGGGCATTCCTACTTCCGTAGTGATACTGCCTTGGAAACCCAAGTAGGGGTCGCTATGAGTCGGGGCCGACTCGATGGCAAACAACAACAACAACAACAACATCCAAGATCATATATAGGGTTGGCAGACAATGGTCCTGTAAGTTTATGTGAATGATCAGAATTCCCAGGTGTATAGTAGAGCTGACAAGGGGCAAGGTTGTGGTCACTGTTTGGTCACAGCCAGCTACCCGGAGGGACTGAGTAGTTGAACCTGCGGGCTTGGGACCATCGTCACAGGGGACATCAAGCTCAATTGGCATAACATACTATACAAACATTGTTCCACCTCCTACTTTGGCGAGTAGCGACTGGGATCTTAAAAGCTAACAAGCTGCCATCTAGATGTAACGATGGGTCTCTCCTTGTCAAGAGCAAAGAAGAAAGAAGAAAACCAAAATTAATGGAAACAATCAGTCCTAGTGCTGGTACACCATCCGATCTGCAACCTATACAACTATGAGACCAGAAGAAGTAGATGGTGCCCAGCTACCACTGTCATCCACTTGGAAGGGATGTAGGAGATCCTGGATAGAGAGGGAGAACAACGTGGAACAAAACTCAAAATCATTTGGAGGAAAACAAAAAAGGTGGGGACCAGGTTTGCTGGTCCAATAGAGCCTGGTGGAACCACTGAGACTATGGCCCCTAGCTACCCTTCAGGTCTGGAATTGAACCCACACCTGTGGTTTCCAGCCAAACAATGTACAGGCATATGAGTTAAACATTTACCTCAAGTAGACACACGCCCTGGAGAGAACAATCATGGGAGAAGAAAGGGCTACTTATGCACAGGGGGTCAGCTCAGGGTGCAGGAGAGTATGGAGGGATGGTCACTGGGAAGAGGTAACTATGGGGAGGAAGTGGGAGGGGAGCTGTTGCATTGTGGTAAACTGTGGTCAATGACATGAGACAAAGTATATGTGAACTGCTGTATGGAAAGTGAATGTGCTCTGTAAATCTTCACCCAAATCACAATAAATTAAAAAAAAAAAGGAATGGAGCTCTGGTAGCATAGTGGCTAAAGCACTTGACTGCTCACCAGAAGGCTGGCGGTTCAAACCCACCAGCCACTCCTCGGAAGAAGGTTGGGCAATCCTACTTCCGTAGTGATACTGCCTTGGAAACCCAAGGAGGGGTCGCTATGAGTCGGGGCCGACTCGATGGCACATAACAACAACAACAACAACAACTCAGAAGTGGGGTGGGAGTTTTCTAGAGGATGAGGAATAATCGGTCTATATCCCAGATTGAGTGTATAAATGCTTCCCTCTCTTTTCCTTTACCAAATTGTCAGCTGGCCTGTCTTTCTTTTGTGTAGGCCTCAGCCAATCAGCGGGCTGGCCGAGCGGGTCGGGTGGCTGCAGGCAAGTGCTTCCGCCTGTATACTGCCTGGGCCTATCAGCATGAGCTTGAGGAAACGACAGTGCCCGAGATCCAGAGGACCAGTCTGGGCAATGTTGTGTTGCTCCTTAAGAGCTTAGGTAATTGTGGTACCCCAGTCCTGAGGGAGGAGGGAAGTGGTGCTAGAGTCACTGGGTCCTGTGAAGAGACTGTCTTGATCCCCTCACATCTTTTTTTAGGGATCCATGACCTAATGCACTTTGATTTCCTGGACCCTCCACCGTATGAGACCCTGCTGCTGGCTTTGGAGCAACTGTACGCTCTGGGAGCCCTCAACCACCTTGGGGAGCTCACTACGGTGAGATAGGAGGGAGACATGGGGTACGGGACAGGATGAAGAGGTCACGCGTGGCTCTGGCAACCCTTAGAATGGTAGAGGAAAACCTGGCATTGTTTCACTTTCTTCTTAGTCTGGTCGGAAGATGGCAGAGCTTCCAGTGGACCCCATGCTGTCTAAAATGATCTTAGCCTCTGAGAAGTAAGCTCCCTTCTGACTTCTGCCACTTAGTATACAAACTGGCCATACCTCTTTCTATTTCTGGGCTTCTGTCTCTAATAATAATAATTTATTATTGGAGAACTTACTGCCCCTTTTGAAGCCCATAAGAGTCAGTAAGATCCTGCCCTGTCCTTGATCATGATATCAGATCGGGACGACACAGAAAATTCAGGGGTGTAAAAGAAAGTGGAAGATTTTCCATTTGTGAGGGGTGCTGATTGAGGGCTGATTTTGAAACTTTCCTCGATGCACGTAGTACACACCTTCCTACTGCAGAAGCTTTCAAAAGTCCCTGATCCCTTCCTACCTTGCCCCCCCCCCCACTTCCATGGGTATCACTCCTGTGTAACTGATCTACAACTCCCACCTCCTTGACCCTCAGCTGCCAGTGCTGCCACCACCAAAATCTGTTGCCCTACTTGTAGCCACCTGAGGAAATATTACACAATGATCATTTTTTTCTCTGTTTGTTCTTACGTCTTTTTTCTTTGAATGCTCATGCTGTTCCCTTCCTGTCCCAGGTACAGCTGCTCAGAGGAGATCCTGACAGTGGCTGCCATGCTCTCTGTCAACAACTCCATCTTCTACCGGCCCAAAGACAAAGTTGTCCATGCTGACAATGCCCGTGTCAACTTCTTCCTCCCTGGAGGGGACCACCTGGTTCTACTCAATGTTTATACACAGGTTACTGGGATTGGATGAGTGGAAATGAAGACGATATGGGAAACTGTAGTTTTACTGTATTATGTAACTCCTCCCTTTTTTAACCTTCACAGTGGGCTGAAAGTGGCTATTCTTCCCAGTGGTGCTATGAGAACTTTGTACAGTTTAGATCAATGCGTCGAGCCCGGGATGTGCGGGAACAACTAGAGGGGCTCTTGGAGCGTGTGGAAGTTGGTCTCACTTCTTGCCAGGGAGACTACATCCGAGTACGCAAGGTCAGCATTTCTTCAGTCTACTGCTCTCCACCTAGTGTCTTCCAAGGAGCAAGCTTCTCAGAGGTTGAGGAGTATGCAGTAGTTCCTCCAGCCTAATAATGTGCCCTGTCCCCTGGTGGAAAATGTTGTCCCCTGGTGGAAAATGTTTTCCCCTCAGGCTTTTTCTCTCCCAGATCACTGAAGGTTGGTTCTCAGTGGGTTCTTCATACAGTCCGTAACTTTCTAGTTCCCCATAAGCCTAAACTAAGAAAGTAGTGCAATAAGGCTTTCCTGATGTCTGGCTTTCCCATTGACTTTCTTTCCTGTCTGCTCTTTAGGCCATCACTGCTGGTTACTTCTACCATACAGCACGGTTGACGCGTAGTGGGTATCGCACAGTGAAACAGCAGCAGACCGTGTTCATTCACCCCAACTCCTCCCTCTTTGAGGAACAGCCACGTTGGCTGCTCTACCATGAACTTGTCTTGACCACCAAGGAGTTCATGAGACAGGTGAGTATCCCATCTGCTGCTCAGACAGGCAGAGATTATGTGGGGACATGGTATCCTGGCAAGTTATGAACCCAGTTGCAAGTTGCTAGGACTGGCAGAGAAACCGGAAAATACAATTTGGTTCAAGTAGGATAAAATAGAAAGGTATCTTTTCTAATAACTATCTTAACATCTTCTAAGATCAGAATACTATATACTGGTTCAATAAGTACTGTTTTTAGTGTTGGAGCTATAATGATAAACAAGGCAAATGAGGTCTCTGTCCTCATAAGGCATACTTTACAGTGTTTAAGGTCCAGGCTTTTCTTAGTGGTAATATACTTGGCACTTTGAATAACACTCTGACCCTAAAGATTGTATCAAGTAAAGGTGTCTGTCCTTCCTGTTATAGTAGTAAGAGCCAGGCACCTTTTCCCCTAGCCCTGCAGTCAAAGGAGAGAGAAGAGAACTCTTTTAGGTCATACATACATGAGAATCTAGGTTGGGAGGAAGGGACTACTACTCATCTTTTCACTCCCCTTTTAGGTATTAGAGATTGAGAGCAGTTGGCTTCTGGAGGTGGCTCCCCACTACTATAAAGCAAAGGAACTAGAAGATCCCCATGCTAAGAAAATGCCCAAGAAAATAGGCAAGACACGAGAAGAGCTAGGGTAAAGAAAACAGAATATAAGCAGACCCTGACTTCTGTACGTTATTTAATATCTATTAAATAAAATTATTTTTGGAATAATGCTTGTGGGAACTTTTTGGATTCAAAGAAAGAAACTGGAATATGAAAAATCTATTACATATTCACTTTAGTTTTATTATTTACAAGTTAAATTATACAGCAGCTTTACACAGCATGAGATGGAAAGAAAGGAAGGAGACAAATAAGGGGAGGAAGCTGGCTCCTGAGACTCTTGGCTGCCTCCATCCCCTTCTCTTGTGCGTTACAAAGTCTTCAGTGCTGTCCTCCCCCCAGTTCTCCCTCAGGCCTTAGAATACACATGTAAGCTGGGTTCTGGTTCTGACAGCCCCAGGGCTCCCAGGGCTCCCACTAGCAGCTTCTTCACAGGTGTTGGGGGTGAGTGTGAAGGCATCAGCTGCAGGGAGAAAGGTTAATGCAGGATGAGGGGCAGTTCTCAGATGCTCTACCCCTTCACCCCACCGTCATCCCCAATGACCCCAAGACTCACTTTATCTAGGTGATGGCGACAAATGAGGCCACTGGAATTCAGGAAGAAGGTAGAATAGGCATCGTAGGTCCTGGGGATGGGAGAATGAGAGGCTTACTGAGGAAGAAAGTGACTGACTGGTCCCAAAGTTTAGTTCAAGCATTTGTTTAAACTAACAGTTCTTAAATTTTGCTACACTTTAGACCATCTTGGAATTTTTTAATATCTTGAAGCCCCGATTGTGTCTAGCGCCAGTTTTTTTTTTTTAGATTTCTAGGTCATTCCACCATGCAGCAAAATTTGAGAAGCACTGGTTTAAACACACAGTTTTAAAGGCTGTGAGTCTTAACAATTTTGGTGATTTGACTCTGCCAGAAATGTATATGGTACTTTAAATAAAAGCTGTGAGGCTCAACTCTTAACAGGAATTTTCATTCATGCAGTTAAGTATCTGAGAACCTGTCATGTGCTAAATAATGGACATGAAAAAATTGAAGTTCAGAGATTTCCTAATATACTCAAAGTTCCTATTCTTTTTGTTACGTTAGACTAACAGACATCCCTGCCCTCAAGGAGATCATAGTCAAGTCACGGTAGATCAGGGATTATCTGGGAGATGAGCTTATCATGTTCCTAAAAGAGACTAGGAAACTGATTATAGTTTGGGTCCTTTCTCACTTCTCTCTTACCGGTAAAGTTCGTCCTTGTCACGCTTGTAGAATCGCAGAAATAGCATGTGGATGGGCAGCCCCACGAGCCTCCAACGGGCTTGCAGGGTCCAATTTTCAGGGTGGCGGGTCAGTTGTAGAACCTCCAATCGAAGTTGTGCAAAATAGTTCCAGGCCAGGAAACGGCAGAGGGTCAATGATAGAATGTACCATGCCCGGCCCCTGTGAAGAAGAAAGGCCTCATGAAGGCAGAGACGAAAACCAAACTAGTTTCTGCCAAAGAAATGGAAACAGTTGTGAAAAGCAGCCTAGGACCTTTGGGAAGTGAAAAGGGTCAAGTATATAGCATTGAGCCCTTTCCTCCCCCAAGGTCCTACCAGTGCCCCGACTCTCACTTGGTACGTATGTTCAGGATCTCATTGATGAATTCCACATCTGATGAGTAGAGTGTGTAGTCGTGGGAATAAAGGAAGAGGTTGGGAAGCTAGGTGAAAGAAGAAGGTGTCACACTCATGGCAAAGACAAAAGATGATCCTATTTTTCAGTTTTCTATGTTTAGTGCCCCCTCACTTCAGTGAAAGGTCATCTTGTCCCATGTTTAACCTCTCCTAATCCAAACTGAGGAGCATCTTTTCCTCAGAATGTTTACAATACATTATGCCTTGTGGTTCCATGAAAGAACCCAGTTAACTAACCCCCTATTTCCATTATTACCTACATTCCTCCCACTGTGGTAGAAGACCACTTGCAAACTGACTTACCTCTTGTCTCAGTCTTTCATACATGACTGCCAAGTGCTCCTCCATATTGGGATCCCCTGATGGAGTGGCAGGGGAAGGGTGGGCAGTACCAGGGGCTTGGAAGGGTATCAAAGCCCCAGGATAGGGGCAGGGAGGTTGTCCCTCAAAGAGGCTTCTAAGCCCTTCCAGGCAACCCCTGTGCAACTCAGGTCCCAGTCCCTCCTCCCCATTTCCTGGAGGGAGAACCACCCATGGTGAGTTGAGGGCCTCGACCTGAGGGAGAGGTAGAGGTAGTGGGGGAGTCTGAGGAAGTAACCGAGTGGCAGGGCATGGGGGTGGGGGAGACCAGAGGATGGGAGAAGATGTAGAAGTGGTTGTTGTGGAGTGGGGCCAAAGTGGTGGGAATGGTAGGGCCCATGGAGAAAGCTGGTCCTGAGGAAGAAGAACAAAAGGGAAAAAGAACTTAGGTGCCTAATGCCTCTTCATCCAAATTCTGCTCATTAATTGCTTCCTGCTCCCACCTACCAAACCAAAACCAAAGCCACTGCTGTGTTGTCAATTCTGACTCATAGAGATGCTATAGGACAAAACAGAACTGCTCCATAGGGTTTTCAAGGCTGTAAATCTCTACAGAAGCAGACTGCCTCACCTTCTGTGGAGCTAGCTGCTGGTGGGTTCAAACCGCAGATCTTTTTGATTAGCAGCCCGATGCTTTAACCACAACACCACCAAAGCTCCTACGTCTCCTGACAGGAGACGGATTACATACTAGAGGAAGAAAGGAATGGATTCATCTCCATCTCTACTGAAAACAGGAGGAAACAGTTTCCTGTTACACAAAAACCTTTTATTTTCATTATTTTTTGTTGTGATTTGGGTGAAAGTTTAGCAAGCAAATCATTTTCCATACAGCACTTCATAGACATTTTATTTCATGACACTGACTGCAATTCCCCACAGTGTAACAGTTCTCTTCCCACTTCCTCCCTGTAGTTACCTCTTAGCTGTGTCCTCCTTTCCTAAGCATTTCTGTCCCCACCCCAGGTTCACCCTGTGCAAACACTGCCCTTTTGTTCTCCCACAATTGATGGCTCTAAGGAGTGTATCTACCTGATGTAAATAGAAAAAGAACCTTCTGAAAACATTAACAAACCCTCTTACATCTGCTTAATATTTCCGTGGTTTTAGGGGCACTTTTATTTTTCCTAGCAAGAATCCTATTACAAGAGTACATGTTTGCTGAATGAACCAAAAAAATGAAATAATAGACTTTACTGTACCGTGGATGAAATTATGTGGCCTACAGCAGGAGAAAGGGGATTAAAAGACAGGAAGCCAGACAGAGGAAGTCAGTCACAGGGACCCAGGTGGGGGGGATACGAGAGGTCTCCAACAGCAGGACAAACTTGTCTGTCGGTTTGTCCTACTGTGGTGACATGCAAACGTGAGTTTTGAGGCTGAGCCTCTGGTGTTTAAAACCCAGTGAGATGCACCTGGTGCATAGGTAACAGCCCAGTTTATAGACTGAGACAGACTAGGAAGAAGGAAGAGGCCGTCCACTTCTGAAAGAATTGGCCAGGGAAAACCTTATGAATAGCAAAGAAACACTGTTTGGTACATTACCTCGCACCTGTAGGTCCGTTTAGGCTAAAAGGCTCGCAAAATAGGACTAGGAAAGAGCTGCAACATCTGAGTAAGAAGGGACCATTCCGTGGAGAAGGATGTCATGCTTGGTAGAGTGGAGGGTCGACGAAAGAGGGGGAGGCCTTCAACGAGACGGATTGATACGGTGGCTGCGATGATGGGCTCAAGTATAGCAGGGATTGTGGGGCTGCGCGGGATCGGGCAGTGTTTCGTTCTGCTGTGCATGGGGTTGCTATGAGTCGGAAACGACTCGACGTCACTTAACAACAGCACAACTCTGATTAAGTCTGTTAAGCAAATACTATACACAGAAAAGAAAAGGAACTAGGGCAATTTTTAGTTCCAATTTTACCATATAGCCCTAGGCACTCTCATTCCCTATTCCTGCTTCCTATAAATTAGGAAGACAATGCCGCACTGAATTATTATGAGGCATATACGAGATAATGAATACAAATAAAATTTTATTAACTTGTAAAGTAGTACATAAATGTAAGCTACTCTCAACTCCGGCCCCTCTGAAAGACACAATCCCAGGAGACAGTTAAAGGATAGGCTTCATTTTCTCTGATCACCGACACTGAAACTGCGACTAGGAGAGGTCAAAAATCAGACCTTATCTGAGTCCCGCCGCTCCCAGAAACCCACGGGGTCTTACTCCAGGGAAGGCAGGCGGCCGAGCGGGTACCTGTCCCGACGGTGTCCCCGAGACGCCGGCTCAGACAGGGGTGTGACCATCTTGCCTGACGGGCACCGGGGCCTGAAACCAGTCACCCAGGCCGGCCTGGCTGCCAGGACCGCTAACCAGGTGGAGGATGCGCGGGCTGCGGAGCGCAGTTCGCAGGTCAGGTGGGGGCCAGGGGCCTCCTGGGCGGTGCCGCAGCCGGGCTACGAACCTCTCCGCCCCCTTACTGTCCTTCAAATCACCTCCAGCTTCAGATAACTGCAAACTCGGTCACAAAAGGACGCGCCCAGTTGACTGAGCCTCGACACCGACTGCCCTCTCCCAGACCCGCGAGAACCGACATCCCGCGAGCGCCAGGGCTCTGCGACCCTCGCCCCTTCACAAACCGCAGAATACAGGTGGAAAGGGGCGGTGGGGCACTGGTGCGCCTGCGCGGAGGCGGGGCGCGCTCTGCCCCCACGCGCCGGCTCTGAGAAGGGTCTCTCCCCGCCCCCTCTCTTCACCTCTCCTCCCTGTCCGCTTCTTCTTCGCTCTTACCTGGGGTCGAACTTGGTAGGCGCGGAGGCAGGGGCCGAGATGTCGGGCCGCCCCCCGGCAAGGCTGGTACATGATCTTCCGGGAGTGGAGAGAGCGCCTCCCGAGTCTGGCCTCCGGCCTCCTCACAGGGGTGAACGCGCCCCAGAGCCGGCTTCTTGAAGGGGAAAGGGGGGGGGGCGGGTAAGAAGCTGAGGGGAGGGAAACGGAGATGTTGCGCGCTTGCGCACTGCGGATTCCAAAGAAGGGCTGAAGCGCTGTTTGCAGCTAGGGCGCCTGCGCTCTCCGTATCCGTGTTTGTCTTGGAGCGCCTGCGCAGTAAATTAGCTCCGCGGAGACCTGCATTCCGCCTATGGCGGTTGCGCAAAATTTTAGCGAAGATGGGACTGAACGGACAGGTGAAAGTCAAAGAGGGAGGGGATTGAAATAATAAGCCTTAGAATAGCTCCCGTGATAAAATAAATACCTTTATTACTCTTATTAAAAAAAGATACAAATGATTAAAAGGCTGTTGAATGAATGAATGAACACATCCATATACGCGTGGGGCTTTGGCTGTCTCTTGTAGTGAGGGAAAAATAATACTGTCTTTGGCGGTATGGGAGGGAACTGCGGTCACCAAGGTCTTGTGCTGCGACCTTCCTGCAGGTTTCGAATGAACCTGGCGTTGAACATGTTCCCACCTACTGTCCAAGTAGGGGCAGGTGGTGCCTGGACCTGTAGGGGAACTGTGTGCATGTGTTCCTCCCCAGAGCCGTCCTGTGAGGGGACCTGCTCCTCATCGGCAGACCTGGGAGGTGGATCTGCAGACCTGGGAGGTGGAGAGGGGGTTATAGTACTAAACAGGTAATTAAGATCACAAACTCCTCCACTCTAGATTTTAAGTGTCAAGTTTTGATGTAAAGGAGGACATGTGATGAAGCAAGCGAGAAACACTAGTGTGTCCAAATTTGAAGCCTCTCAAGCACAGGAGTTGATCTTATGGGGAGAGGCTTGTAGGATGTTAGGTTGATTTTGTGGGAGGAACTGGTGTCCAGTTGAAAGACTGAGGAAGAAGAAGTGGTTGAGTGCTGTTAGGAAAGGAGTTATAAGAAGGTGGTGAGAGGCATAGGTTGTTAAAGCTGGTAGGGGAGTGGTTCAGGCCTCACCTATTCTCTGTTTCCTGTTCCCCCTGCTTCAATTCTTGCTTGCCTGTGGAAATACCAAGCATGTGCATGGGAAGGCAGGAGTGGGTAGTAAATGTGCCCTACTTGATTTGTGGGTGAGGGGTGAATACTTACCTGTGTCAGGGGATGAGGAAGTGAACCCCCCATGGCGGCTGTAGTGGCAGCTTTGGGCTACCAGCCCTGGGGGAGTTCCCCTGCAGAAGAAATGGGAGATGATGGGGAGAGGCTACAGGATGAAAGATGGGTGGGTATGGAGAATTTAGAGGAGAGGAAGAAAAGGAAGAGCACAGGAACAAAGAGAAGGGGGTAATTATCATTGCTATAGGGTTCTAATCTAAGCTGTACTCCAGAAATGGGGAGGGAGCTCATTCAATGCCCCAAAATTTTCTGAAGCAGTCCTGCTTTGTTGCTTTATTCTTTTTAGTTGAAGAATGTGTTAAATGTATGGGTAAGTGTGATCCAAATCATGCCATAAAAACAGACTCACACATAGGCGAAGATTTTGTTGGACCAGGTGCTTTGACGTTTGGTTTAGAAAATATGGTTACCTTAAGTATAGGATACCTTAGACCAGAGGGGACTAGGGAGTGATGAGCTTAAATTTAGAAGGAAAAAGGAAGGAGGCTTTGGCATGGCGAGAGACTGCTGAAGCTCAATGGAGAAAAGGGATTGTTTGGTGAGAGATCCAAGGGTTTAGAGGGGGAGGGAGGAGGAAATTCCATAGTAGGAAGAGGAATCCAGGGAACAATCGGGAGGCAGCTAGTGGATCCCAGAGATATTGATAAACTGTGACATCGCTGCAAGAGCTGGCCCACGGTAGAGGGTAGAAGTTACTGGGGAGAGCTAGAGATTTCTGGAGGGAATGGGGGACTAGATACGGAAGCCAACACCGTGAGAGCTGGTGATTACACGAGAGGAGATGTGCAGAATCCGCAGAAGATCAGCAATGAAGATGGAAACAGACTCTGGAAGAGGGACTCAGGCTCCTCAGCAGCAGATCTGCAGATCTCAGAGAGGGTCAGAAACCCTGAGATCCCTGGGAAATAAGGGGGTGACGCACAAAAGAGGCTGAGACCTTGAGTTGGGTTTTTTTTTTTTTGGATGGTTCTTTTTGTTCATTGAAAATGTTAGTTTAAAAAACACAAAAGGATTCACACTTTATTTAGACAATACTGAGCAGGAGAAGAAAAGGGAGGAGCGAGTGGGAAGTGAGGGAGATCCTGCTCCCAAGGATTTGGGGGGATACTGTTAGGGGTACTTGATCTACCACACATTCAGAGGGGAGAAAGGGATAAGGATGTATCTACATCCTGGGTATGGAGCAGGGAAGGAGGTTCTTGCTATGGAGAAAAGAAGGAAGCCAGAGGAAGAATCGTCCCTCATCATCTCAAAACCATCTCACATGACTGAAATACATCAGCATCTAGCTACTGGGGAGGGATGGATGCAACAGGGGATTCCAGATCTAATAGATCCTTGAAATCAGGCTTATCTTTTGCAACATGGCCAAGAGTGATCCCAGAGTGCTTGCTGGGATCTACTGCCAAGGAATAAACTCCCTCAGAGAATGGATCTGGGGGAAGTGGTGGTGTCAGTCTCCTATAGAGACCCCAAGCCGATTATCAGCTCATACATATATAAAACACATGGAAATGAATAGTTTGGCAATATTGAGTGGATCCCTTTGGGGAGCTGGTAATTTCTGAAAGTCCCTGTCCTGCCTAATTTCCGCTGCTCTGAAGCAGAGCTTATTGGCTGGCATGAGCAGGCTGAAAGGACAAGTGTGGCAGGCAGCACAAAGCAGTATTAGAGCCCCCGGTAGACACTGGAGGAAGAATATGGGATTTATTCCATGGACAAGACTCCTTAAAAAACTTCCCTGGCAGAGAAGGCCCTTAGACCTTCCATGGTGTTCTAGTCTAACAGCAAGCAAGAGTGTGCTTCTCTGGGCAATTAGTATGAGCCACCCAACTAAGGGGTCTGGCAGCAGACTGGGCTGTCTGTGGGGAGTGTCCAGAGCCCAAGTTAGGAGAGAAGGGGTGCTTTCTGTGGTAAGAAAAGCTGCAAAGTAGTAGGTCATTTGGGACCCTGAGGGACTTTGTCAGTTTCTCTGAGTCCTAGGGGATGCAATTAAAGAGTGGGCCTGGGATTCTCAGGGGAGGAGGTCTCTTCCCACCCCAGGTCTCTCAAAGAAGAGGGGGCTAGCTGTCTGTCAGTATCGACTCTCATCAGAGCGGGGAAGGGAGCTGTGGAAGGATGTTGTGGACAGGATAGGGGGAGAGGGAAAATGGGGGAGAGAGAAAAACAGAAAGAGCAATCAGAGGTGAAGAGAAAGTTAGGGAGAGAATTAAAGGAGATGCTCACTTCCCTGTCTGCTGGGATGGGCTCTTGGCACACTGGCGTTGACATGAAGCCACTGGCTCCCCAATCTGTGTCCAAGGCACTGCCCCTCCCTCAGCAAACATTAAACGAAGACTTCTCCTGTCTTAGAAGGCACAGTTTCCCCCACCCAATGTATATCTGTGTTCTTACCCTATCACTATCTCCTGACTCTTGAAAACTAAAGTCCTTGGGCTACAAAGAAGTCCTATTCTGCTCCTTCACTATAACCTATTTCCAGATGACTTCCTTTTTTTCCTGAAAAGTATCAGGACTCCTCAATCCATCTACCCTACTGGTTCAAGGCTCTGACAGGTCCCAATGCTCTTTGCCATTTCTCACTCCCTCTTTGACAGGCTGGAGACTTCCTAACCGTCCTATTACCTGGTGCGGCGACGCTGGGCTGGGCTGCCCCCAGGGTCAGTAGCAAGCAGAAGGCGAGCGGTAGGATGTGGGGGGCAGAGGCGCAGGGACCGCAGCAGTTCCTGCTCTGGCACAAAAGGACGGAGGGGGCCCCGTTCTGGCGAGTTTCCCAGGCTGCTGGAGCGGGGGGGTGGGTGGGTTGGAGGTGTGGTACGGCGTGGGGCCCTGTTTAGTGGCCACGGAGGCTCCACAGCTACCTTCAAAACTGGAGGAAAGGGAGAGTGAAGAACAAGATAAAGAAGAAGAAGACAGAGAGTCGTGACAGCAGAAATGAGAGTTAAAAAAAAAAAGAGAAGAGAAATCAGTCTCTTTAGAGAATACTAATCCTTCCCTAGGGCTCCCTAAGCATTAACTTCCCATGGGTTCAGGCCCCTCACCTGCCCTCCCTCCCCACAAAGCCCCTCTTACATTCTCGATCACTAGAGGAGTACGGCTTAATGTCTCCCTCTGCTCTCTTGGGTGGCAGCTTCCTTGCCGGAGCTGGTAGTGGAGGGAACACAGGGGAGGTCAGCATTAGGAAACATACTTTGTACCCATCCTCCCTGCCACAATCCCCCCAGAAACCCAAACCTTTGTTCCCTGACACCCAGTTCCTCCTGGGCAAGGAGAGTAGTTCAGCTCCATCGCAGAATCAGCTCTGTGGTGATGCCAGCCCACCAAAAGGGACTTTAGGGGAGATACTGGAGCACTTTTGAGGAAAGCCAGAAGGAGTAGGCCAAACACACAGTTGAGGGAGAAAGATCAAAGGGGAGACTGAGGGCCTGGGAGATGCAGGAGAAGGGCACCCAAGGGGAGTGAGCTCTTACTGTCAGTGGGTGCTGCCAGGCCCCCCTGGGATTCTGAGGCTGTGGAATGGTCCCAGCCAGGTCAATGAGGACCCTGGGTCCCTCTAGATGAGATGGACAAAGCCCTTGGTTAATCAGGAATTGCTTTGGAGAGGTTGGGGGATGTTGGGGGTGGGGCAGAACCTCTCCTCCCTGTGCAAAGATGGGAAGAGTTTTTTTTTTTTTTTTTTTTTTTAAGAAAGAAAAAAATGTGGACACCTGATAAAGAGTTATCAGAGTAAATGGGAGGATGATACTATACTATACATAAAAGCAGCCTCCCCTCTCACTTCTATACTTGCTCCCATCCTTCCCTCTCAAGAGGTTCTCTATCATCCGTGGCAAATGAGTGACTTCTCAGCTAATTCACTTAAGCTTTACCACCATTACTCTCCCCTGTGGACCTAAGTCCTGTGCTGGCACCCGCACAAGCCTTGTCAGTGCTCACTCCCTCTCAGAGCCTGTAAGTCCTAGAAGATGGAAGCCTAGGAAACCGAAGTAAGTCATGGATAGAAAGTGCCTCTCAGTGTCTGACATTGGTAGATGCTAGTTACTTGCTAACAGTAGTCTTTGGGTGGTGGGTAGTCCCCATCCTACCCATGGAAGAAAGTAAGAGCTAGCCAAAGAGCCAGCTTGGGAAGGAGGTACTTCTGTGTGAGCGAGCACTACATAGCCAGCAGAGGGCTGTTCTTGTCCCCTTTGGGATGTAGTAAGGAAGAAGAGGGAGTGGGGCTCAGCTGAGCAGGGAGTGTTATGTATCTCTGTGTGTAAGGATAAGATGCGAACCTGGAAAGCATTTTGCATCTCTTATGTTTGGTTTTTCCAGATCAACTTTGGTTGGAAATGTTATAAAATCCTGGTAAGTTATTTTCCCGAATGAATATTTAAACATTGGACCATTCATGTTATGCCTGTTGCCTGTTCTATGACTAGAAATAGAAAGGCTGTTTGCATTTGCCTGTCCCTCAAAGGCTGAGAGAAACCTTAGAGGTTTACAGAGGAGCATGACTCTGGGCTATTTTGATGGAGCTGAAGTAGCAAGAGGCCCCACCAACATCAATTATCAAATAGGCTCTCAATGAACTTGCTTAGTTACAAGTCTTGCCAAGTTTAAAATGCACTGAGCTCCCATGAGAGCACAGGTAACCAGGTAATGACTGCTGGAGACTTGGGTTGCTTGACAGTTCTCCAAAATTGCCCAGGTGGCACTGTACTCCCCGCTGCCTTTAGAGTGACTAGCTATCACTGCACTATGGCTCCACCCATTCAATGCAGGTTTACCAGCAGGTATGGGATCCACAGCAGCACGAGCATGTCGAGCTGCCCTCAGAGAGGAAGCAGGGGGCCCTGTGAGGAAGGAAGGGTTGGTGCCCCTCAGTGAGGGGGCCAGTGGGACCAAGAGTCCACTTCCTTGCCCTCATCCCAACTACATGACCAACAAAAGGTGAGACAACTTACGATGTTGATGGGCAAAGAAGCCTTCAAAGATCACAAAGTTGTTCACCTAGAAAATGAAACAAGTAAAATACAGTTGTTCATTCAGCCACTCAGTATATACTTAAGTATAAATTCTGTGCTAGAAAAAAGCACAGTAGGAGAAACAAAAAGCAGTCTTCCTGTCCTTGATGGCAGACCATCAAAAACCCAAACCTTAAATAACATGAGGAACATAAATTAATGCCACTGAACTACACATGTGAAGACTGCTGAAATAACAAGTATTTTCTTACCTATATATTTACTATAATAAAAAATAAAAATATACCCAGACCCTGACAAGTTGATCCTAAAATTCATATAAAAATTTCAAGGCACCTCAAAAAGCCAAAACAATCTTGAAAAGGAACTGCAAAGCAGGGGGACTCACCCTTCCCAATTTCTAAACCTACAAAGCTAAAATAATCAAAACTGTGTGGTACTGACATAACGATAGACATGTAAATGAGTAAAATTGAGACTCCAGAAATAAACCCACACGTTTAAGGTCAACTGATTTTCAACAAAGGTGTCACAGCCATTCACGAGGAAATCTTTTGAGTAAATAGTGTTGAGATAACTGGATATCCACATGCAGAAGAATGAAATTGGACCCCTACCTCACACCATATAAAAAAATTAACTCAAAATGGATCAAAGACCTAAATTTAAGAGCTAAAGCTATAAACCCCTATAAGGAAAGGATAGGGGTAAATCTTCACGACCTTAAATAAGGCAGAGGTTTCTTAAATATGACACAAATATAAGCAACAACAACAAAAAAATGGTATATTAGACTTCATAAAAAAAAACTTTTATGCTTCAAAGGACATTACCAAGAAAGTGAAAAGACAGCCCACAGAATGAGAGAAAATATTTGTAAATAAGGTATCTAATAAGGATGTATAAAAACCAAACCCAATGACATCGAGTCACTTCCAACTCCTGGAAGACCCTCAACGAGATGGAATGACACAGCAGGTACAACAAGTTCAAGCATGGCAATGATTATGAGGATGGCACGGGACCAGGCAGTGTTTCATCCTGTTGTACACAGGGTTGCTATGAGTCAAAACCAATTCAATGGCATCTAACAACAAAAAGGGATGTAATATCTCAAATATATAAAAAGCTCTCACAACTCAGCAACAAAAAGACAAATAATACAATTTAAAGATGGGCAAAGTAAAGGGCTTAAATACCTAGAAGACATGCAAATGGCCAATAAGGATGTGAAAAGATGTTCAATATTATTGAAACCAAACCAAACATACTGCTATCAAGTCGATTCTGATTCCTAGTGACCTAAACCCCATAGAGTTTTCAAGGCTGTAAAT